AATAAGGGTATAATAGTAATTTCACCTTAATTTGTTATTATCTGTTTTTGAGTAGGTTTGCTATTGGCCTGGACATCTAGAATTTTCCTTTATCTATTTCTATCATAAAAAAAATTGAATTTGTGTTTGAATTAATGACGGTGGTGGCAACAGCTACTTTGAGCATGTTTGGTGGGTGGGGGCAAGTGATTGGACTAGGTTTTTTTTAAGGGTAAGTGATTGGACTAAGTTTGTTTTTAATTTTTTTTATTCTTTAATTCTATTCCTTTGTTTTAATTCAAATTATTTCTATTCTTTTCTTTTAACAAACCAATGGATCATTTTACTCAAAATTTGTCATTTTAATGGTCAAAGTGACATTCTCCATTATAAAAGGATCTTAGATTCACACATTTGAAAGAATTTGGACTTCGAGTGTAGAAATCAAAGGTTTGGGGATTCATTGTCAAAAGGTCAAAGGTTAGTGCCCCTAGTGCTATTTGCCCAAACTTTGTAAGAAACAAATTAAAGTACGATTGCATGGTAACACTAGGTGGAAAGTTTAGTAGCTACGGTGAACAAATTAAAGTTTTATGGCCAATGGTGAAATTAACCAGTGAATAAAAAGGTTCTGCATCAGTTAAACATATCGATGGTCTGGAAGAATTGAGTTACTGATCATCTTCATAAGTTATAACATTTTGTGATGAAACCTTATGTTCTCAATAATTGACATTAGAGTCATTTTGAAAATTAGTGATATAAATGCGTAAGTTCAATCTTCCTATGTGTGTGAAAGATCAATTAGTTGAAATGGTCGATAAATATGTGATTGGCTCCTAAGGAAATTGTAACCATGAGATGGTTTCCTTACAAAGTATAAGCGTAAGCGTTGATGGAGATTGTGATAGTTCGCGACTTAAAGAAGACATCGCTTGATGGAGAAAAAATGTTGTGGTACTACATTTGAGGGTGATATTGAATAAAAGTTACACAATAACGTCTAATATCTACTAGATATGAGAATGGTCTTCAATTATAAGAGAATTGACGACTCCTAATAAGTTAATCTTTTAAACTGGAAACATGTTACATCATAATCCATAAGGAAGCCACATGGGCAGAAAAACGCCATGTGAGCAAATGTCAGCATGCCACGTGATCCCCTATGGTCTTCGTCTAGCTAG